CAGCACACCAACTGATCGAAAAAGAGGACCACTTGGTTCAGTATATCTAGAATAAGTAATGAGTCTCAGAGCCCTTTTCTGTAATCGACACGTGGTTCTAAATACGTGGTGTATGTTCCGCCCTAAGACTATCTATACAGTAATTCAAGTGACTATGTACAGATGCAAAGTATAGAACGTGCAGTATAGATGAATTAAAAACTCCTGAGCCTTTAGTAGTGTGTAGCAACCGTGTGCAGTTTCGTGCTTATGTTTTTAATTTGATTCTTCCAATGCATGTCGGTTTCAAACAAGACACCTAAATATGTGTAACAAGAAACATGCAGCAACTGCACGTTATCTAAGCATATAGCTAGTTCTTCAGAATTCATTTGCTTTCTCCTAGAGTGAAACTGTGTACATAGTTTTTCTTTTTTAATGTTAAGTGCGAGTTGGTTACTAATGAACCATGTTAAGACCCTTGTTAATTCTTCCTTTATTTTAGCTTGTAGTTCACTTATTGTGTCCCCGACAAAAACTAATGCCGTATCATCAGCATACGTGAGTGCTTCAGACTGACATAAAACAGAAGGAAAATCATTGACGTAGAGAAAAAAGAATGGCCCCCAACCCAAACCAGGGCCCTGTAAGCACTGCACGTGGTGTAGAAATAAAATTATTAATCGTTACACATTGTGTTCGTTTTGAAAGATAACTTTTAAATAACTCAAATATCTTTCCCCTAAAACCGTACTCATAAAGCTTGTTCAGTAGCATGGTGTGATTAACTTGTTTTCAACAACCCATTTTCAAAACAGCCCCTAACGTGCAGCCACCAAAAAAACGTCACCAGGGTGGTATAAAATGATAATACAATCAAATAAGGGGCAACGCGTTGACTTTGGAGTCTTCCTTCTGTCGCAGAACAAATTCAAAATTGGGTCAACTAGGCAACGGACGCTTTCGGATCGTGATTCCTAGAGAATAAAACCGGGATACAATGGATCCACCTTTTGTCCCTCCAATTTTTACTTTTCTCTCGCGCGCGGCATGACTCACACAATTCGTGCGCAACTGCGACACAAACGATCGGCAAAATAACGTCAGCAAATACGCGAAGCAGTAAACACAGATGGCCACGACGTTCGCTCGTAAGCAGACGGCACAAAAAAATGCCTCGCCGAAGGAAGCATACGGCACAGCTAGCAGCAACAACACACGCGAATCACATAATGCAATCTCTCGCGAACATTCGGGGAAATCTAGAGGAAAAAAAAGAAAAAAAAGAAAAGAAAAACCGATAAAGAGCAGAAAAAGGCGGCTTACCGTGAGCAGCATTCGTGACTGTGGCAATCGCATAACCCGACGTTCGAAAGCGAAAGCGGAGGGGCGTTTGTTTCGTGAGCGAGCGTTTTGTCGTTCCTTGTCGATTGAATCGGAAGTGATCGTTGCTAAAACTCAATAAGCTTGAAAAAAAAAAAAAAAAAAAAAAAAAGTAGATGGAGTTTGAAGTGGAGCACTTCACGGACGCTTCACACTTCACTTGCGCAGTAACTGCGACATTCACGTACACGCACACAGGCACCACTTTCACTCCGTGTCTCGGCGTAGGATTCGGCCGAGTTTTCTTGAGGAAACCGCGCGTAGTGTGGGGGGAGGCACAGCCAGCTCAGCAGCGACGAGTTCTTACTAGCATTTCCTGCACGACGGGCCACATGGACGTAAAGACGGCGATGCTGGCAGCTAGGTGTAGTGGAATCCAACGGCAGCGACAACGGACTTCGAGGAAAAAAAACACGGTCCCCGCAGCGCCTTCCGCACGCCGCCATGAAGGACAACACAAATTTTCTCGAAGATGAAACGAAAACGAAAATCTGTGGGTGACTGGCGGCACCTGTCGACGTGTTTGAGAACTACATAAAAGGCAAAATTCCACGGTGGTTGAGCGGTTTCGGTTTATCCGGTTTATGCTTCTCTTCGAATCACGTGCTGCCATAGAGTTATTATAGGCCGTGTTACAAAATCTACTCGAACTTACACCAGGGAAAGGGTTTTGTACCTTGGCGTTGCAAAACCTACTCACGTCCAGCGCTTTTCAATCTAAGTTGTCACGTGACATGACTCTCACTTCCCCGCTTGATCGCTGCAGCGCGAGTAAAGCTAGAGCCATACCTGACGGCCATGTTGCTCACAGGGTAATTACGGCTCTGCTAGCGTTGCAGAGGCTGGCGGTAGCGTCCCTAAAGACACGTTATCTACTCGCGCGTCGTCATTCGTCGAAGACGTTTTTTAGGACCGTGTGTAAGCGTTGAGACTTGCCGTTGAGAACACGCGAAAATATTTACAAAGTGCCGCAGAAAAAAAAACAAAAACAAAAAAAACAGAAAAAACACAACTTGTCAAAAGCAAGTTTCGCCAGTGGTAGACGAATGAATGCCAGAGGACGACAGCTAGAGGCTACGTCAGAGATTCAACTCCGAGCTCTAAACGATGGGTCCTCCGCGTTTCATAGGCAAGGGCTCAACCCCACTACCATCGACCTGCCAGTGGTATCATCAGAAATACTTGGGTTATGGACGGCTCGACTTGACACAGAGTGAAGTGACCACGTGCCTGTCAGTGTGACAAACTAGAACGCTATGTGACACACCCAACTACAAGCCCCCCAAACCTAAAAACCTGTAAGGTGACGAACTGGAATTTATTTCGTCAGCATGTTGCTTCCGCCACGGAGAGTGGCAACTATGAAGATCTGACGTCTTGTATTGCGGAGTGCCTGCGACTTGCCACGCGCTCCGTCATGGTGCCCGTTGCATGTCCTGCATCTGACTTGGAATGACTAAAGCTCCGAGCAGCCCGAAGACAGGCAAAGCGAAGGGCACTTGGCACCGACGCCTCATGGGATTGCACTCGCCACAACTGGATCGATGCTAAATTTAGATGGCACATGAAAAAACTCCAACGATGGCAATGGAGGCAAGGATGCGCATCGCACTGCTCGTGCAAGCAGTGTCTATGAGCTGTTCCGTAACTGAGTTAAGGCCCGTTCACACTCTTGCGACCGAGTGCGACCGAGTACGACTGAGAGAGACGAGTTCTCTTAAAACTTGTTAAATGTTTTTAAAATGAGGGAACAAACTGGCATTGTGGCGCCATCTATGCGGTGACCCTGGAACTGCATTTCACAAGAGCGAAGGTTTTGCGGGATTTTCGAGGTCAAATGTGCGTAATACCCATAGAAAGGCTCGTTTATAACATTGACAAAAGTTTTTCGAGCCAAGAAAGAAAGGATAATGCACGAGAAATAAAAAAAAAATATGCCGGACCGCCGAGTTTACACTGCTTCTCAATAGATGGCGCCAGTGTGTTTTCTGGTTTAAGAAGTTGTAAGAAACCTAGGTTTAAGAGGTCGCAAGAGTGTGAACGGGCCTTCAATCTAATAGCTTTGGTGTCTATGCTTGACCTTACGGTGATTACGTCAAAATTCTGGCGTACAGGCTTTGATAGTACGAGGTGGTGTTGGCCACATCAACGAAGGGAGTCAGGTGCGCCCTACGAAGGACTTGCGAATAACCTACGGCGTGCGAGAGGGGAAATTATAACCTTTTCGGCCCGCTTAAATAAGCTATGCCATGCAGAAAAGAATGCGAACCTGCAAGAACGTGTTATTACGCAGCGAGGGCGCAGGCGAGCCGGTGTAAGTTTACCATTTTGTTCAATTTACATTACCTCGATCAAAATATAAAACAGAAGAAGAAAAAAGTTTCCGCTGAAGTTTATTTCAGTGGAAACAGCTTGTGAGCGAAAAGCGTAGTCTTTTTTATTTCCTTGCTAACACCACCTTTCCTGTTTTTGTTTCTTACATTTTGTCGCCTGTGTCATTTTTAAATGGCACAGGCAACCGCAGTGACGTTAACTGATAGCCTCACATTCACGCGGTTTTCAGCTTCCTGCAATGTGTAAACTGTTCACGCGCAAGCAAAAAAAAAAAAAAAGAAAAAAAGATATATATTTAAAATGCCGGATTTTTTTAATGTTTTGGGTTTCACAGTTTAGCTGGGGTCTTTACTATTAAACCGAAATCTTAGTTACACGACGACGCCTTTGCAGCAATAATTAAGCCACCATGGAGGCAGGCTAATGGACCTTTTCCACATACCGACGGCATCAGGCAGTGGCTGAACGAACTAAAAATCGGGGACCTGACCTACCTGCGCTACCGTCGATAACGGGAGCAGCTTAGAGAAAAACACGACCTAAACGTCGTGTTTTTCTTTCCGTGCACTTTCTTTTTTTGTGTAACCCAATTACATGTATGCTGCAATCACGTGTTCTACTCGCTGATCCACAGCCTCCTACCGAATTTCCTCTATTTTTCGTTGCCGACTTCGGCCGCTTGGCATCGGGCGCTCGCGCGTGCGCAGAACGCTTCTCATAAAAGGTCCATTGTGATAATTTCATTTAACTGATTAAAGCTTGGTGCATCTTGTCCCAGAATGGTTGCGTATATTGCTGAACCATTTTTCTGTCAACGGCAAGACAACCACATCGTGCACTTCAACAACTTTTGCTTGAAATTAAAACAACAACAACGCACAAATAAGTGAGATACACGAAGCACAGAATAACTACAACTTCCCTATCTGTCGATTCACTGCAATAATGTGTGTTACCTTCTCAAAGCGCACACTCTTGGTCGTATGCTAAACTATGAGCTACATATTTGGGATCAGCTGTAACCAATTTGAATTACTGCAATTAGTCAGAATTTCAGTAACCAGGTACTTTTTTTCTTTAAAAGTTACGTTAAAGTTTTTCTAATTTGTAACAACCTTTAGCTTCTTTCAGTTTTTATCCTTTATTCAAATTTCGTCGGCAAATACACGAATTCACATTGATTTAGAAACAACATAAATCTCTGCCCTGAGCAGGGTGTTGATACAAAGCGGCACTCGACCAGTGTCATCTCCGCATTGGACAGTTTATACAGTTTATTGAGTTACTTCGTTACCAATCCAGCACTTGTCTCGAGCTGTTCCCTTGAGTCCAGTCTCCCTGGCTCCGACCACCACGCAATTTATCTCGAGAGCCTACTCAAGCCGCCAAAATCTGGTCCGCACGCGAAGCGAATCCAGCAATTCTTGAAGACTGACGGAACGCACCTTCAAAACCTGCTGCACCTTGCACCCTGGTCCCTGGTGACTGATGAACCTTGTATTCACGATGCCTACGACCTCTGGTTAGATCTCTTTTCGGCCATAGAAGCAGAATGTGTTCCCACAAGGATGACGACTGGCCGGCAGCGACCATGGATCACTCAAGATATCATTCGGCTCTCCCGTAAGAAACGCCAGTTATTCAAGAAAGCACGTAGGACAAAAAATCCACTCCACCTCAGCACAGCGCAGCAAGCACAGAAAAGTCTGAAAAAACTAATCTACTCTGCACACAGGGCCTATATGGAGTCGATTGCAGAGAAAGCCATCCATTTCCCAAAGCTTTTTTGGGCCCATGTAAACAATCAAAGAAAATCATCCTCCCGTCCTGAATTCTTAGTTAACGGAAGCCAGGTAATAGAACCCGGGGCTATAGCGGAACTTTTCAGTGACCACTTCTCATCGGCTTGGACCGACCCTGGCAACCCCTCACTTCTACCCTCCAACACGCCTCGTTGTAGTTCACCACTTGCATCGTTCGATGTGCGGGAAGAAGACGTTGCAGAAGCACTGCAGCGTATAAACCCATCTCAGAAGGCTGGACCTGATGGCGTGCACCCAGCTTTCCTGAAGATGTGCTCCAACAAACTCAGCCCGATCCTGGCAAAACTTTTCACGAACTCTCTTCGTGCCGGCTCTGTCCCCCGACAATGGAAGACTGCCCAAGTCACCCCGATACACAAGGGAAGCGGGCTGTCCAAGTCACTCGTGTCCTCGTACCGGCCAATATCAACTACATCCATTGTATGCAGAACAATGGAGAGAATAGTTAACCGACATTTACTGGAACACATTGAGCGACACCAGCTGCTTTCCTCGCACCAATATGGTTTCCGCCCCGGCCGGAGCTGTGAGCTAGCTCTCGCAACCGCGGTTCACACCATCAGTAGTTCCTTAGATGGACGTACACCATGCGAGCTCGTCCAACTCGACTTCAAGCAGGCCTTCGATAAAGTTGACCACTCCATCCTATTGCAGAGACTCTCCGACATTGGATTATCCGGCAACCTGTTGGACTGGGTAACGTCCTTCCTGCTCGGTCGTACCCAGCACGTAGTCTTCGGCGGGCAGAGGTCTAACACCGCAGAGGTCGTGTCAGGGATTCCTCAGGGTAGCGTCCTAGGCCCTACCCTCTTTAACATCTTTATTGATGACATCACCCGGGTCTTAGGTTGTACGCCCCTTCTTTATGCCGACGACCTCACCCTCGTGCAGCCAATCCGTCGCCCCCTCGATCACCAACTACTCCAAGCGGACCTGGACAATGTTGTCGCCTGGTCGGGAAAAAACAGACTTCCACTGAACTTTGCCAAGTGCACTGTGATGCAGATATCCTCATCCAGGCAGCAGCGTTCCGCACTCCCCTGCTACAACCTCGACGGAGTGAACATTTCCAGAACGACCAGCACCAAGTTGTTAGGTGTCAAACTGGACTGTCGACTCAGTTTCGGCACTCACATTGCCGAAGTGATCTCCCGAGCTCGAAGGATGCTGGGTTTTGTTACCCGTGTCTCAAGAGGGGCCGGGTCAAGAACACTGAGGCACCTCTACACTGCACTGGTGCTGCCGCACCTTGAGTACTGTGCCGCAGTCTGGGACCCCCCTCAGGCCACCTTATCCGCTTCTCTTGAAAGTGTGCAAAGACGTGCCGCGTACACTATCTTGCGGTGGCAGACCCCTCATGTCCCCCGGTACCGGGACATAGCTACGAATGATCTGCTGGCACGTGTGGGTTGGAACTCCCTGGCCCTGCGCAGGAAAATCTCCTCGGTCCGGCTTTTGGCAACCTGCCTCCTGCCAGAGGCTCCCGAGGTTCCTCTTGCTCGGCAGCTGCGGCTGAACCGGAACGGTGGCCTTCAACCACTCTTTGCCCGCACTGACCGGCACCGGAATACCTTCGTCATCAGGGCAGTAAATCTGTGGCGGTCCCTGCCATCAGAGCTGACAGCGGGCCTGAGCGAGAAAGAAGATATAAGACCCATCTGCAGGGGGGCAATACCGCACTTGCGGTCCTAAGCAGCACGCAGCCGAGTGTTGTTTTGTTTGTTGTTGTTGTTGTTTTTTTTTTTGTTTTTTTTTTTGTCGCTCATGTAACTGCGGCACCACAGACCTCCTGGTATGGGCTCCTCGCCTTTTGTGGTGTCGCAACTCTTTCCGAGTTGAATAAATATTATTATTATTATTATTATTATTATAACTGAAAATCTTGACGTCGTAGGACAGTGTGAAAATAATCAGAGTGCAAAATTTACTTGGTTTTCCGAGACTCGATCGATACATTTACACAAATGTAACTATGCGTTTGTACCATAACTGCTCATTGTAGCAGAAAAATAATTGTATTTTTACTCAGTGAAAAATAATATTCATTGTAGCATATATTGCATCATGCGTCGCTCATGAGATGAAATTCGACTTCTAAAAGTAAGCAAAAAAAAAAAGTATAACCTAAGAAAAAAAAATATATATACATGTAAGGGGAAAGAAATGTTTACTAGAAAAAAAAAATTAAATTCAGAGAAAAATAAAACGAAAAAATGTACCTAACAAACTAAAACTAAAAGAAGGAAAAGAGAAAACCTATAGTACCTAATGGAAAAGTTCACGTTTCCGCAAACAAGTGGACTGACATGAAATATAGCCACCCTTTTTGCATCCCACCTTTCTACATTTTGCTTTTTTTTATTATCATTTTACGCATAATATTTTCAAGTGTAGAAAGCAAGCTTTCCGTTCTTTTTTTTTTTTGCGTTTTTTAGCATGTGCAAATGAGTCAGAGGAACGGTTTAACGGTTTTCTTGACGTCTTCCAGCGTGTGCAAATGAGTCAGAGGGACGATTTTCTTGGCTTAGGGGAGAGCAAACTGCAGACAACTACGACTGAAAAAACAACAACATCGGAGCCGAATATACGCAAACAGGCTGACCTGTGTGTTTCAAAATTTTAATAATAGGAACAGTCACGTTAACATATGGTAGCCCATTTAATGGCGTCACAAGGGTAAGTCGCACCCGAAGCGGTAGTTCCTCCCCCCTTCTTTGTGACGCCACTGAGCCTATTTCCTACGTGCCGCACTTCCGTGCAATAGAATAAAGTAGCAGTACGTTCCCCTTAACGTGCTGGTGTTTTTATTTTGCTAGTGTCTCAGCCAGCACGGTTCAACAAGTCACTTGCGGAAGACCAGCTATCCTCAATTCAAATCAATGTTTAATTGATGAAATAAAGAATTTCGTCCTACATTTTGCGGCCGGCTACTTCAAGCTCAAGAAATAAATATGATGTGTAATAGGTTAGAGCTATTAAAACAAATCAGTTAATAAGGCTAATGCACTTTTTTTTACGTGTTTCTTTTTTTAAGTTAGGCCAAGGACTCAAAGCTTTGGCAAAAGAAAACAAGTTATACTATCGAGTTTGCTTAGTTCAACCCGTAATCAACTTCGCCACCGATCGTATCTGTCTTTGCTTAAAAATAAAAAAAAAAACAATCATATTGGATAACATTATTCAAAACCCTTTCGGGTGCCAGTGCGCCGTTTTCTGAATTGTTGGTTCGCCGTTCCACGTGTCAACCGCATTAGCTGTGGCTATTTTTTCTCTCTCTCACTTTATTGCATTGAGAATAATACATTATAGCTGCGGCTCACACGTATTCATTCTGTGACTAATACCAAAACGCGCGCTTGTGCGTTGGTACACGAGTACGACGCACGTGATTCAAAAAGACTGGTTTCCCGAGAGTGTATAAAGCACAAGAAAAAGGAGTTGCTCGCGAAAGGAATACATGACGAAAAACAAAGAGTTGTTACTTGGAGCACAATTAGAGAGAGAGAGAGAGAGAGAGATAGAGCGAGAGAGAGCCGAAACATGCATTTAAGAACGAATACAGATAAAATAAATGAAATATCCGAGAAGAGCTGCGCAAAAGGGTGACGAAATGCTCTGAAGTTTAGCGAAGGTCAGCTGTGTTTAAAACGCGGCGTTTGCAAACAACGAATACGTAGACGCCGGCTGCCAGAATACGGCTCCGTCGTAATATGTCGAAAACATAAACCTGTATAATATTGCTGGGTACTACTACGCAAATAAAAACAGAAGCGCGTGCTGTGAGCTTAATATTTGGTATATACCCTATTATTTTATTTTAATGCTTTATATTATAATATACTAGATTACAGTTTTTCAGTGTATATGTCATTATCCGGCGGCGTTTATCCTGAACGATCTCGAGTGGCAATTAATTTTCGCAGCTTTACAGTGCCACCAATAACTTCGATAACTATATAGATGTTGTATTTCATAGTTATTGCTCTCAAATTTTGTTACACTTTTTACCTTTTTACACGGTAACAAATGTCGCGTGTAAAAAAAAAAAAAACAGTTACTGTGATGATGGTGCTATCGGCGCCATGCTTTACTAGCCCGAGAATAAAAGAAGTGTCTGGCATATCGGCCGGCACGCATTATACATGCTTGGAACCTTGGAACAATACTGGTCTTCCTTTTTCTACGCCCGATTAACTCGGGATAATTCATAACAGGTACGATCGCGAAACCTCGTAATGTATAATAGAGTTCAGAAAGGTTAATCATATATCACAACGACTTTTTCCACGTGTTAAAAAAAAAGTATGACATAATGATGTAAAAAGGTAGAACTTACCTCTATCTTGGCGCTGAGCAGCTTGATGACCTGGTGCTCCCATTCGATCTCGCCACTGCTCTGAATATCACCCACCAAGTCCAAATTTAAAGCGAACGACGTCTCGGAGAAGACGCAGCGGTGATCCAACATGGCAAATAAAACTAAGGCGCACTAAATATATTAAGATTCGTTGGCTAGCTTTCGTTAACCCTCAGGGAGTCAAACTTCCCGATGTCCGTTGGGAACTGTCAGCTGGTTTTTGCAGGACTTTTCGCAATCCTCCAAGTCTAAACCTTCGGCTGCCAGCCACTTACAAAACTCTCGTGAGCGGTCTCCATATATTTCACCGTATGCTGGAGGGGATACTTTTGATGGTAGAAGAAGCAGCTAGCTTGATGCCTGTCAACAAGACATAGCTCCATATCTTTCTTACAAGCTACACACCTACTCTCGGGGCACTGCTCCAACACTCAATCTCTTGAAACATATACGGTCTCTACATGCGGGCATGTCTTGGGTGGATGATATCTTCTAGATCGGAACCCAGCTCTTCTTGGCTTTCGCGGATATGAGACACAACACCATATACGTACCTCTCACTCAACCTAATCTTTAGAGATCTCACTGCATGCTCTCGTTCCTGCCATGCACTAACCCCGACGACTGTGACCTTGAACTGCTAATAACCACTGATCCGCGCATGGAGTGCTCGCTGGTTTCCACTCAGGGCATGCCGACGAAAAAGTGAATAAGACCTTCGATGACGGAACGACGGCAAACGTGCGACAGCCTACCGTCTCCAGATGAGCTCAACGGCGGTACGGCGACGTGGGCCGTCATATCTTGCCTTGTTTCCTGCGACAGGATGCTGCCGGTGTGCGGAGTTTGTCAGCCAACAAGACGCTCTTGGTGCCTCCTGTTCGCCACTCTGTTGTTGTGCTTGTTGTTGTTGTTTTTGTTTGAGAGAGAGAGGACATATGCGAAGCGATAGGAGAACTCCCTGGAGGTCGGCGTGCTGTGACCTTTTTTTTTTTTTTTTTTTTTTGTTTTTGTTTTTGCAGCAGCCTGTGTTGGTTTAATCGTGCCTGTCTTTTCGGCTTCCCTATCCCAGTTCCGCCCTTGTTTAGTATCCCTGTTGTGTTACTTACCTCGAGTGCGAACACGTTTTTATTTCCCTCTGTATATATATCTTTTGTCTCCTCGGAGAAAGGCAGTTCGCCGACCCTACATTGTGGCGGGCGCGCACGACTCCTACTTCGTTCAGAAACTCTCACAGGAAACCGTCATCAAGTGTGATTTCTCCTCGGCGGCACAGCCATGATATACCGCTACGCATCTCAGACACTTCTCGTATGTATACAGGGACGTTTAGAAAGAAAGAGGAAGTTTCACATTTTTATTTCAAGCCACTTGTAAAAGCACAGATCTCATAATTCCACTCATCACTGGGTAGAGAAAATTTCAATATTAAGGTTCTATCGTCCTTGAGGTTCCTTAGACTAAAATAAACACCACCTATTGCGAAAAAAAGAAGAAAACAACAACAACAACGAAAAACCCTTTATTGTTTACGAATCAATTGTTCTCCAGTTCCAGGCGTAGACGGGCGAGCTTTAAACAAAACAATTACGAATTTTTCCCCATTCAGTAATGTTTGAAAAGTGTTTCTCCCTTTTAGTTTGTTTTGGAAAAAAATTTAAAAACCGCTTCTTCTCTTTGAATAACCCACATGAGAAACGCGCTAAATAATCTCCGGCTAACGCTAGGCTAGAGCTTCCACTCTTAGAATCGACAAGGAAATGGTCGAAATATATGGAGGCTGCCTTAATAGTCATCTGGACCCTGAAGTAAAAGGAGAGATTGGTCACAGTTCGAATCGAGCCGGTTGGTCTGTGACCAATGACGTGCGCAACCGATGTTCCGCTCCTTCATTTGACCCAATCCTTGTAAGCCGTGCTCGATCCAACCTGCTGCGCATTATCTTCCAGTTCTCAATTAACGTTTACGCCGTGCGCTTTTAGAAGATGCGATAAGAAGTGAGATCTTGGATGGAACTTTGAGGTTTTAAAGGCTTTGTGTTCTAAAATGACGAGCTGAAATCTCGTTAAATATTTCGTAAAATCGTTCTGTAACGTCCTAATAACATCCGCGGAACAGTGCCTACTTCAAAAGCTGTGCGTGAAACAGGAAGTAGTGTCTAACAAAGGGAATTTCTGGCACACGCTATTACATAAATGTACAAAGTTTACACGAGACCTTTAAGGTTTTGTGAATGATAGGCAACTGTAGCATTTGCAAAATAATAAAAAAAAAAAAAAAATCGTCGAAGAAAGCTTTGATTTTCGTCGCAGTAGCATCAGCCGCGTGATGACTCCAGTGAAGAATTTCTCGGTGTAAGAACAAGCTGCGGAAAACAGCGGTGTTCACTTCATGAAATTGTCACGTTCATCGTGGAGAGGTCGCCTTGTAAAAGTTAACGCATGCGTTGTAGAAAGCGCGGAATGAGCCAACGCAGTTTTAAATTTGGCGGCAACAATGAACGAAAGTTTTAGGTTACCAGACGAATCATAGAACTCACTAAATTTAGCACATTTTGAATTTAATTTTTATAGTATGTTTTATAGAAAAGCGTAACGGACTGACGATGGTAATATTATCAATAGGGCATAATTTACTACAATTTTACTACAAAATTTTACCTGAGGAAGGTTATTTATTTAAAAACAAGATTTGGCGTTTCGCGCCATCTAGGCAGTATTCTCATTTTTTAATTGTTACTTTGCATTACTTTTTGAAATATTAAAAAAAATATACTAGTAACTTTTGTTATACTTAAAAAAATTTGGTAGTAAACATTTTATAATTACTTCAGTAAATAGCGTGCCTTCATTAGATCACTAGCGCCTTTTAGGTTCCTACTTACTACAATTTGTTTTATCTGTGTTGTCAGGCCTTGTAGTGCGGGGAGTGCGGGCTTGGGCGTGCGGGGGTGCGGGTGTGAGTTTGTGTTTGTGCTGAAACGTTTATTTGATCGCGTGTAACAGAAGCCCAACCACTTCATCTTTTGGCAGAGAAGACAAGCACAGGTACTTTCAATCGAATGTAACGCAGTCGGCCTGTAAACAGCAAAATGTCCCGATTCAGAAGCGTCACGTTCATTCGAAGCCGAGAAGGCGCTGGTGCCGATCATGCTCACAGCATCCAACAATCGTCATTAGAGAACGCTACAAAGCTGTCAGGAGACACTGCCAGGCAAATTTACGAAGAGATCATATCATTGCCTTCTACGCAGCGTGTTTCGTGTGCATCTACCCCTAGAAAACGCCAGCCCACTACCCGAAAGGCCCAAACGCAAAGTCAACCATCGCCTCAACCTGTAGCGCCCGTAAAAGCCAGCCAACTGTTTACGGCAGCACAAAACAATGACGTTGCAGAAATCGACCGGTGTCTGGCCGCCGGTCTGGACGTCAACGAGACCGACTGTTTCGGATGGACGCCCCTCATAAGCGCCGCCTGCGACGGCGCTCAGGATTCGGTTCGTTTCCTGCTGAAGAGGAACGCCGACAGACGGATGCTGAACAAGCAGGGAAAGACGGCTATGGATCTGGCGGTGGTCAGGGGCCATTTTAAGGTCGTTGAGCTCCTCTGCAAAACGGAGCGAGGAATGGAGAACAATCGGCGACGATCGGACGGCGAACAGGCGGAACCGGAAATGGACCGGTTCTGTGACGTGTGTCGGAGGACTGTGACGTCATCTGAGCTGTCCAATCACGACGCCTCCATAGTGCATCAGCTGAGCAGCGGCTGCTGTCATGGAAACCGGACACATTACGGCATACCCGAAAGTAACGCCGGGTTCCGGATGCTGCTGGGAATGGGCTGGAACCGCGAACGCGGGTTCGGACCCCGGGAATCCGGCAGAAAGTTTCCGGTGAAGACGGTACTGAAGCGAGACCGGTGTGGTCTTGGGGTTGGGGAGACGCGAGCTAGGGTGACGCATTTTGGCGCGTGTGACGCGTCTGCTGTTGAGCGTGTTGATCGGAAGACACACAGTGATGGACTTATCGGACACCGTAAGAAGACGAGGAAGGAGCGTGAGAGGGAAGCAGACAAGTGGAGAAGGAAAGAGATTGCATTCCGCCGAGAGTTTCATTAGCGTGATTTCCTTCGCCGTCCGCTGTTGCGCGTGAGTATAGAGTGGGTTCCTGGCACTGATCTACAGTAGGGGGCACAATGACCTGACGCAATGAGGTAGGCAGTGGGTTATCCATTGTGGTAGATCGTAGTGCTCCTGGCTCTATGTTTTCTGCAAAAGTAGCGACGAATGTCTGTTTATTGTCTTTTCTTACGCTTGGAATTTGTTTCTACTGCAGGTTCCAGTGTTGAAAGTTTTAGAAATACAAGGAATCGTTGCCTTCTCCTTACACTTGTGTATTTTCAGATTACAACCGCGCTAGGGCATCTCTGCATAGCGTAAAGCTGAACAACACGCTGCAGCTTCTTAGCTGAAACATTTGGGGTAACTTGTAGGCCAGGACAGAAGTTTGTGATTCATGCTTGGGAATTGGAAAAAAAAAAACAATGTGCTTCACAAAATGAGTCAAAGCATTTACGCCCACAACTCGTTAAAAAAGGAAGAAAATTCCATTTGCCGTTTTGCAAAAAAAAAAAAAAGAAAAGCAGTAGTGATTTTTTATTTCAGATTTGTAATATAGCATTTTCTTGTTCTACATGAAATGAGTTTTTTTCCAGAAATACTCCTCCAGGCAAAGGTGTTTCTGATCTTTATGACTGTTACAGACAAAGTGACATAGAGCTGTTATGTACTGTAATGTCCCTAATACAAACTGTTTTGGCAGGCAAGTACCCAGTTCATCGAATCGCAACAAGAGCGGCGAAATGCTCTTGTTGTGGTCGTCGAGGAAGTGGTCCACTTGGACGGACCTGACTTTAGGCTTTTCCGAGGAAAAAGCTCCAACTGAAAATTGCCCAAACAATTCGGAATAATGCCTCTTTTTTCGTTACACTCCATGTGTGTAAAACAAACAGTCCCTGTGCAAAGTAGCTTGAATTATCTTATTTGTTTGTTAACCGACGGCTGTCGATTTGCAGAGGCTGGGACGCCGTCGTTCGAGGGCGGTGCTTGATTTACGATGAATCCGATGGCTACGAAGGTGAAGCGGTTCCTGGCCGAGATCGAAGCCACAGCCGAGACGATCCTAGCCGACAAGGAGCAGCTGGTCGAGCTGGACAGACGACGTCAGAAGAACCGGGAGGCTCTCAGGTCCGTTCCTCTCTGTCGATCTGTCTCATTTGCCGAGCTCTTCACTGCCGTGGACAGTCCTTGCACTTGATTGTGCGTCCTAGAGCCACTAAGAAGCTGTAGTATTGACACTCCATTCTCTGGAATGTCTCGTGGACGCCACCATCTTGTTGCCTAATGCAAAGCAGATGCAGTGGGTGACGGTTACATGCCTGCCAAGTCTCCCGTATTACCTGGGAGACTCCCAAATTTTGACCAATTTGTACAGTTGTACGATTGACAGTAAATTCTTCCGGAAAGTGCAAATTACCCCCCTCTTAAAGAGTTTTGGCCGTCGCGACAAATGGCTGCAATGATAGCGCGGTTCAGCTGTTTCTCGCTAACCTGAGAAGTGCAATATAAATATAATGAAGTTTTCTTCATGTACATTTGTTGTCAATATTTCTTTTTAAAAAACTGCCCGCTTAGAAATTTTCCCGGATTCGGTTTCTTCAAACTTGGCAGGTATGCGGTAATGATTTTGAAAATAACAACTTCCTGAGCTTCAGGGGCCGTAGGATTGCCGTAGAAAAGTTAATTTGATAGCAGGAAGTACACAATGGTCCTTGTCTTCAACGTGCGGCATAGCACTTCCGAATGTGGTGGGCTTGTACATGCGCACTTATCAGAAGTGCATCCGAAGCACCCCCATCTTTGTTCTCACAATTTGGCCGTGTAAGTAGGGCTATCCTCGCTCATGGGCATTGTTGAGGTATGTCACCACCGGTGTCGTAATACAGTGGAATCTCAAATAATTTTAACCCTAGGGGCATCAAAACTTTGTTTGAATAATGCAAAGTTTGACTTACCGGGAGTTTCGTTCCTAGAAACACATAGTACGGGACCTGCATGTTTGTTTGAATTATCTGCGAGTTTAAATTAAAAGAGTTTAAAGTAACGAGATTCCACTGTATTTGTTGGCACACTTTCTTTGCTTCCAATGTTGCGAACTCTCCCGAACAGAGAACTTTGTTAGGACGTCCTGGAAGGTGGCTAGAAATGCTTGCATTTGAAATGCAAGTTGAGAATTAGGTCCACTTTTTTCTTCAAATATGTGTCTGGGAATGAAAGGCCAGAAAAGGAAGATTGAAGGTGTCCGTCACTAACCACTGTCCCTGGGACAAAATCAAAATCACTCTGATACTTCAGTGACTGCTCTCTTCCTTTGATCTGTAAGTGTGCTGGGCTTGCCACTGTAAGGCAATCAGTGCTGTTCGAGTGGTAGGGCGGGAGGCTTGCTTTGTGCCATAAGGCTTATCCCATGTGGTACACCACGGTGTACCAGGACGTTCCAGGTGGGACACGGGTCCCTACTGCTCTTTGGTACTTCGGTCACTTGGCAGCTGGTATCTCATTCCAGGTGTCTTCAAAATCCCATGGACGACTCCCGCAGGCCCTGGGTCTGCATTGGGAACATGTTTATGAAGATCCCCAAGGCTAGGACAAAGGAACTCCTGGTGCAAGGTGAGAGACAAAGCCATATATGCGAGCAACTAGTCTCTCCGGCTCACTATCGGCCGAAAACTCGAGACCGGAGATCTGGAGTTTTAACTGCTTTTAGAAGCACAAAACAGAGGGTTGTATCCGCCATTGTGCACTTGTCTCTGTCCCCATTTTCAATGCAGATCGTTAAATTTCGTGCGTAACGACTCGTACGTGCTTGTGGCTTCTCGTCGATTCGAGTGCGTTGCAGTTTCTTTTCACAAGCCCGTGCTCAAGTCACAAATAGCAGCCGATTTGTGCCAGAGTCATGCGTTTCCACCAAGATCTACTTTTGGATCTTTGTGTTCGGACAACCAGGCGTTATTGGCACAGCCAGTATCATTAATAAGTAATATGCTATAGTCGGTTACAAGTCAAGAAGGTAGGAGAAGCTCCTCCCGCAAGCGTGATGCGCCCGTTTCAAATCTCTCCGCAGTCGAAAGAAGAGTTCACTGGAAACGCTCCTTGTTCCGCTTCAATGGATTCCCACCTGTTTCCGATCCCACTTTTTAAAAAAGCGGCCTTTGTATTCATTGGAGGGGGAACCGAGCCCCTGAAAGCAGCCTCTGTATCCATCGGAGGGGGAAGCTAATGCTCGAAAGTCGTATTTGTTTCCATCGGAGGAGGAAAACTCTAATCTCCCTTTCGTGGCTTTCACAATGCTAAGCCAAAGCCGAAAGATAAAGCAAATATGTACAGGAAGGCAAGACCCTCCCCGCGGTACGTTGGCCGCGACGTCATGGAAACGATGGGACGATATTGGATGTGAAGGTGGCGGAGGGATGTATGATTCCCTTTGAGGGGCATTTGCCGCTACCTTCTTGATTTGTAACTTACTATAGTTTGTTAACTGTGTAATGCACAAACGGTCAGCGCTTCACACTACCAGTCTCCTTGCTGATGTGCCCTTTTAGAAATTTGTCTTGCGGCACTTCTCGTGAAATGGAACATTGTCAATGTGCGCTATTATATACCAGGCATTGTTTCGTGCAACGCTGGATTGACATATGGCACAACTGCTTTCAACCTGCGGTGTGAGATGCCTTTCGAGGGCGATGGGAGCAGCTGTTCTGGTTTGAAGCAAACGTTCTGAACTTAAGCATGCAGCTTGAACTTTTGCCGGACTTCTACAAATGTACCTGTTGTGTTGTCATACCTGACAATGACTCTCTCAAGACTTGGGTCAATAATTGTAATGAGTGTGTGGGGTATACTCTACTAGAGGCAGTCGGTGGAATCGCTTTTGAGGAGTGTCGCTTGTCTGACTGGTCATGTTTGTGAGGTGAGGCTCTGGACATCATGGGGCCTTCCCAATCTCAAGTCTGAATGCTGAAAAGAGTTATCAGGGTTTTCGATACTTAAACAAAAATGTGCAACCAGTAACGAGTTGAGTGACGAAAAAGAACATAATATAAGGATGCCCAACAAGGTGTAGTGAAACCGGGGTTTTTAATATATCTGGTCCTTTCCCACGCTACAAGCATGCATGACAGTGCAAAGGAAGATCCATTGGTGGACCTTTGGGGAATGCGGTAGCATGATTATTGGGAAACGCCACACACGTCCCCTTTTTGGAAACGCTAACGCTGACCCCTTCACTTTTCTGTTTTGGCTTTGTTACGGGGTCGGCGTTAGCATTTCTCAAAGGGGCACATTTGTGGTATTTCCCAAAGGTTGCGCTAATGCATTCTTTAAGCATCCACCAATGGATCTTCCTTTAATTTTTTCCAGCATTGGGTGTTCTCATTTGCCCACCTTGCACACTTAGCAGCAGCATTTGCTGCCCAACTCTGCTTTCACTGTTCGTTAATTTATGCAGCTCGTCTTCTTCGTTCACAATCCGTCTTCTTTTGCCACCTACTTGGACCAGTGCCATACTCCGCGACAACTTTTCTTGGCAATGCAGTGGAAGGTACAGGCCGGCGTCCCCTCTCTCACTTTGATTGTGCGCGGGCTCTCCTCCTCTCCCCGGAAATGGGGGAGGAGGAGAGCCTGCGTACACTCAATATGGGAGAGGGGACGCGGGCCTGTACCTTCCACTGCATTGCCAAGAAACGTTGTCGCGGAGTATAGTATTTGGTTCACACCCCATTGTGTAGCACAAACCAAGGCATATGCGCTCTGCACACCTGCAGGTTCAGACTCACCCTAGTACCCACGCACGCATTGTCCTCTGCCTCACGACGTTGCCTCCCTCTCACCTTTGTCCTTCACTACTCTCCTCTTCTTGATATGGTGCGCTTCCCTTTCCACAGTTTTCTCCACAGATGAACGGCAATCAGAATTTTCTGTCCTGTAGGTACTAATGCTAATGCATTAAAAATTGCGGGTGGTGACCACTGTCACCGATTCTAAGAAAACTGATTGTCGAAGAAATGAAACCCTAGGCATGCACAACGATACCTCTTTAGTTTTCTCGTTTGGTTTGCAAAGTTTTTATTTCATTGACGAAAATGTACACTGCGTCGGTTCCAGTGCCTCGCAGATTTTGGAGAAACTCGAGAGAAGATCCTCCCAGAAGCCTCGGAACGTCGAGGGACACTCACTACTATACCACCGCGAGTAGGCGAGACATGCGTGTATTGTGCGTGGCGTGCAGTGCCACTCCCAGAATCGGTTGCCATGGTGCACATAAAGCCGCGAAGCGTCGGCAACTCACAAGTCCACGCAACGTAATCGAATGCAGTTGAATGCCACTGTGGGAATGAGCTGTAAGCAGCCGTCCCACAGTGGTGCCGAAGAGGACACCTTTCACTGGCGTGGCAGTGAAGTGGTAACGAACGAAGTGGCAGCGAACGACGCGACGGGAGCCAGCGTGTCATGTTGGATGTCGCAATCCTGGTAGTTGGTGGTAAAAGTCCTGGTTAAAAAAAAACAAAAAAACTATACTCTGTTTCACAGTTTCTTGGCGAACTGCAGAGGCTGCGGCCCCCGCGATCCAATAGGAGCATCGTAGCCAGGCACGTGACACCATGTCACGGGAGCGCGTGTGCTGCACCAGATGCAAGGCCCGGAGGAACCGGCTGTCGTATTTGGACGAACGTCCACCGCCGCAACATTGCTGTATGCTAGAGTGGCGAGCTCTTTTGGGACAACAGTTCACGAGTGTTCACGAGACAACCGTACGCTCAATGTACCTGCGAATCTGTGGCGGTGCTCATGCCAGGGCAATGTTTCGAGCGGAAGCGGTCAATTACATGACTGCAATCGCTAACAGCCACGCCACTACAAAAAAAAAAAAAAAGAAAAAAAAAAATTGGGAACGGATATGGATGTGCTGTTACTTTTTTTGGTTTATCTATAATTAAAACCTATAAATTCATGACATTTCATCTTATATTTTGATGTATTCTCGGTAGAGACGTAATCGCACGAGTTCAAATGCCATTAAAATAAAAAGAAGAGTAGAACTACTTTTTGCCGTGGGTGGGGCTGTTGCTGCGGTGGTAACGAGGCCTCCATGGCCTCGACCATGGAGTCTTATCACGTGCCTCGCTCCGACGCTCTTATTGGGTTGCCGGGGCCACAGCTTCCACAGTTCGCCAAGTTATTGTGAAACAGAGTATGGCGAATGTGAGTGGCGCTGTCCTCGCATTGTCCCGACTCCAGATGCCGAAACTCCCACAAACTGACAAGCTGGGGCACGATGTGCAGCAGATCAGGTATCTGCCAGATCCACCACCGCGCTGTTGTACTGCCACTAGGACCTGCTGTGGCACTGCTGCTTTGACACCGCTAGCGTGACACTTGTACAACGTCATTCGGGCGGAAGTCGCGGGACCACTTTTGAAGGCGCAATAAACAGACCGGTCTAGGACGCGTTCCAGGTGCCGTTGTGGCACCAAAAGGTCTGGCTTCTTTCCTAGCAGACGACGTCTCCTAGAAAAGCATCGTCTGCTACCCTAGGTCTTTCGGGAGGTTTCTTTCCAAGTCGTTCCTGCAAACTGAGCGTCTTCTTCTGAATTACAGAGCAAGAAAAGCTGGAGTCTGAAATCGGCGCGCTGCGTGCAAAGCTGAAGAAGAATGTGCAGCTCCTGCGGGAGATGGAGGGGCGCTCGGAGGTGCAAGGGTTCGATTTGGAACCTTTGGGGAGGGACGAGATGAGGGCCATCGACAAGGTCCTTGCCCCGTAACCCTTGCAGGTGAGCGCTGTTGAAGCTAGTGTAAAAGGCTAGTGTAAAAAAGAACGGAAATAACAGTTGCCCTCGTCTTTACATTTATTAAAAAAAGACAAAAAAACACAAGACAATTAGATGCGATTCTTGAGCCGGCAGTTTCGGAAAGTGGGAGAAATGTCATGAACAATGAGCGCATGCGAAAGTCACTTGACCGCCTCTGGGGAAGTTGCGGAACATAATTACACAAGACTGCAAACGATGTGGGTTTGTAAAAGTTCCATAGACGCCTCCATAGATTGCCGCCGCTCATTCCAGGTGGTATTTTTGACTGCAACAGAGTCTTGCGTCTTCGGTCGTTATATAACGACGGACCGAGATTCAAACTTTGGACGTGGCGAGACTGGCTTTCACCGGGCTGATCGCCTTTGACCTTTCTTCTTGGCCGTCCTGCCGATAGAGGGGGGAACAAGTGAAGGCTACTGTCGAGACCGGTTATGACGAAGTCAGCGGGAATTGGAAATCGCTTTTCCATATCCGCTATTTCGTTATAACCGACTTCGGTTATAACGAAGTGCAAAAGGGAATGGGAAATCGTGATCGCTTCTCTGTGGCCACTATTTCGTTATAACCGACTTCGTTATAATCGGTCTCGACAGTATTGGTTATCTCTGGGCTCTCGGAAACCTCACAGTCATGGGACATGTATAAAATTGAGAGGGTGCCCGCTGAAGGCATTTTCATGAGCGTACTGGTGAAATCTTGCTCTTTCAAACGTACCATGAATCCTGCCGGTGTTTTTTTTCTCATTGAAACAGTATGGTTCCTTTTGAAAGCTCCTTTTAGTTTGGCCGTTCATTAATAATTTTTTTTTTCTAAATAGTTGTTTGAGAGATTAGCATTTTCAAATATTTGGGCGGCATTCCAATTGAACCTGAATTAGAACAAACACAAGTTTGGTGTGTCGGTTTAGGCTAAAATTGGGGTTTACCCATAAATTAAGAAGGCTTAAGATATTAAAATTGGGGTTTACCCATAAATTAAGAAGGCTTAAGATTACATTGCCATGTTCTTTATTGGCCTGTACGACTGTAAGTGGGTAAGGAAGCCACCTGTCACAGTTGCAGTTGTTCACACAAGATCTGAAGGTGGTTGAAGTCGGTAGGCAGGAAGAACTTGCACAGGGAATCTTTTGGAAGCGTCTGAGTGTAAGTTGACGTTTTGCCAGGAGACTTCGCTTCTCCAGTGCCCTCGAGAGACAAAGTGTCGTAGCAAAAACATTGTCTTCCACTCTGAAGCTCCCTGGAGATTTCCGTGCAAACAGTTTCGCTTGTGATAGTCAATGTACCGGAGAAGCAAATGCTTTAATCACAGCATTGGCTACCACTCGGGCTTTCGAAACACTACCCTGCAGTTTTTGTACCTATAGTCAGTGATAAGTTTAGAATTCGGTGGAGGCTCTGCCTCACCGAATTAATGCATCCACTGCCTCCGCCGTCAAAAAGTATGTATCGTCTGCTCCACGACAGGGCCAATACACCAACTCATGTTTACAAACAAACCGGAGCACCCCTGGCGGATGCCACTGGCGCCGCACATGCGCGATGGGGGTGTGGGCAAGAAGCTCGCTGTCGCCCCTAAACAAACCGTTGAAATGCGATGTTGTCGGCGTCGTTGTGAGTCCCCCCTGCCCTTCTTCGCATTTGAATTGTTGATTCTACGTCTTCCTGGCGATGTCTGACTTGTTGAGCGGCGTCAGCGAAATTACCGAGGCTCGTTACACCGCAAAACTTCGCGTGAATAATGTGACATGTGGCGCTTCATTCCACGTGGACGCCGCAATTTGTACGCTAAAGCCTGACTCACATGGTGAGATTTCACTCGCAATTTGCAGTCGCGACGCCGCTTGGACTGCAAAAGCGCGAACCGTAGCTGAGATGGTCGACGTCGATACTGAAAATCGCAAGCAGAATCGGACCAAGTGCATTATGGATAACAAGTCGGTGATGGTCACTGGTAACAATGATCAACATCTTTTTGTATCTACTGTTTACATCGAGCCTGCTTACCAACCTTCAAATTTAAGTCTTTAAGGCCTGCACTTACTTCTTATCACAAGTACCGGACAAATATTTGGTCTACGGGCCGGCGTCGTCTAAGAGAGCAGACGACGAGCAGAAACGTTTGAAGGAGCAGAAAACAGTTCGAACGATCAGGCAACCGTTTGAATGTGAAGACGCATTGAACGTAGCCCGCAGGTGGTCCGCACAACTTGACGGTTTTCTGGCGTTCATGTTGGAACAAAACAAATAAATCTGATGGCCACGAGTATCCGTGAATTCAAGCCAAAGAGCTTCTCGCCCAAGCAATCGTTGTCCAACGGCGTCTGCTTTTCCCTTTTCACGACACACATTCAGATTCTCGGACGAACCAAGCACGTGAAAACTGACCTTCAAACCTTTCTCGCCACTTTCGGTACGGCCCCAGTCGCGGCGTTTTGACAAGAAGGCACGTTTTTGTCTGGTTCCTTTCAAAACAACGCAAGAATACACGTCTGGCATGGGGACTTCTGCCCACAGCCCCAGACCGGAAGTGCGACCGACGCGCCACCACCGCGCCGTGACGTAACAGAGATGGGTTCGTATATAGGGCGACGTCGGCTTCAGGCGCGAGTGGAGGGAGCAAAGCTCGTTGCTTTTCGATTGGGACAACATCGTCGCGCCTAGATAGATGCTGACAGTGTTGGTCTTGCGGGACGGTGCCCCGTGAAAATGGCGACAGCGGGAAGAAAAGGCCTGGGGAGAGAGTGTACGCATGCGCGGAAGCTCACTGGAAAAAGGTCCACTGCTGGCTACCTCATTTATTTTGCAACTGATTACAACGACCAGACTCGGCGTGGGCACCAGCTTCACAAGTAAATAAATACTGCTTCGAAGGCGTCGTACCACCGGCGTCCTTCGTTTACCAAAGCGAGAGGGGAAGCAGACGGAGTCTACAGCGAGGCAGTGCGGGGGCGGCATTGCTCGAGCATTTCACGCGGCGTATTGGGTCGATGGCGGTGACCGCGACATTGCCACAGCCACCGCGAAGAAACGCGCGCGTCACGCCGACTTTGCGACGTCCCCCGTCACGGGGGAGAATGGCAAACGAAGGAAGGCAAGGCTTCGGCGTAGAGGAAGCCCGAGTCGACCTCGATGAGCGAGGCTTATGTGATTGTCCAAGCGGGGCGCAGAGCGCAGAAAACATGACCGTACAATTCTCAGATAGCCTCACAAAATCCAGCATAAAAAAACGCTGCCGTCGCCACGATTCTGCAACACAACTTGTCTCAAGGGCGAACGCTAGACTCATGAAGAGAAGCTGCCACTTTCGTCGTTCTTGTCGAGCGAGGCTTATGTGACTGTGTGACCATTTCTCGTAGGAAGTACATACTTTTGACCTTGCCTTGCAAATAGCTCGAAACCTTATGCGGTTCCAAGGTCACTGCATTTATGGTGCCAGCTAGCAGGCCAGCCCGTTTTCTAGAGAGCCTACACTACAGAGTGTTTCCAACTGCTCGATTGGGGTCACGTTGCTTATGGGCCATGTTTGCAATGCAAGCTGCGAGAAGATGGCTAAAACGTTGGTCGTCTGCAAACGTTTCCCCCTTTCCGCCTGCTTTCCTTCTCGCCAGCTTCAACACTGTGCGTGCGCAGTGGCGACCAATCTTTGCGGGAGGCGTCCGCCATTTAATTGCAAACGCTTTTCCGTGGTTCGAGATGGACTCTCTCTTCGATCTTGGCTCTCTAGTGTTTTCTCGTCGTTAGAGATTTTAAGATGTTTCAAGGCAGTCGTTCCTAGGGAGTTGCAAGTGTGTGAAGGGCCTTAAAGGGCAGCTCCGTTCAATTCTGAAAATTCTGGGATTACGGCTGATTAACATGCCAAAACTACTTATAAACGGTTTTATGTCATTTGTTTTACGAAAAGTTAAATAGTTTTCTTGCAAACCTCGCTTAAACAAAAATCTCAAAGCAAAACTGGAACCTTGCCTGCGGCGGACAACATTGGTCCTGCTCGTTAACTGCTGGACATCACATGGTACGGAGACGTCGGCTATGTCGACAATAAAAGCAGCGGACGGCGTGACAGCGTCAACCACACTCTTTTTCTCTCTCTCGCCTTCGCGCTCCGTGGCTCGTAAAGTAAGAAACAAACAAAACAATTATTCCAGTTGTTGACATTCCGCAGAGTGTCGGTCTTTGGCCACACAGCGGCGCTGACTGTGCTGCTTCGCATGCTCCGCCTCGCCCGCTAGATTGGGCAGAGTTTGGTGACCGTGGAGCCGCTCCGACTTCGTTGACCAGTTTAATACACTTTTAGGCGGAATTACGTCGTGATATTTTGTGTAGGCTTTTTCAGATGATACGACGAAGGACTGCATTATTTTCTCAACATCAATATTTGACTGGAGTTGCCCTTCAACGGGACACGGACACCCTCCCAAGAAGTTTTTTAACTTTTTTGCCAGACGATGTAATACGGTGTCAGGCTATCCAATCAATATTTTGCTTCAGAGTCACATATATTTTTAGTAAAGCCAGAAAACCCAACTGGCCGAAACCAAAGCACGAGCACGGAAGTTCATGGCCGGAGGTCACGCGGATACAGTCGCCAACCGTTTTTTCGGACTCCGATATTTTGGACTTGTTCTATATTTCGGACCTAAAGGTGGAACCGTGACTTACCCCATAGAAATAGTGTATATTCACGACCAATGTTTCGGACAGCTTGAAGTCAGAAGGTTCGATTATTCGGACAAAATCGTCGCGAGCGATCAGCGGAAAACACCATCGAGAAGCGGCCATTTTGAATTCTATGTTGGCTGCCAATGGATTGGCTTGGTTTGGCAGCACTACTTGAGCACTCCTGAGTCCTACCGCTAGGTGACGCTATGCTAGCCCTTTTTTTCCCATTTAGCTGCACGTCATCATCATCGTCATTATTATCATTTTGCTTTGTTTTTTGTTCCTTCGCGTCGCCAGTCGGCATTTTACGCTCGCGGATTTGCGCCTCTGATCTCGTTCGGACAACGCTGGCTTGCGCGTCATGGCCCCATCTGTTCTTCTGCTACTCGACCATAACGCCAGAAAAGAAGGCAGCGATTCTCAAGCTAACAGAAAGCTGTCGAACGGAAACGGAGGCGTAACCTAAAACAAGGGAAGCAGGCGTAACCTGAACCAAGGCACTATTTACATTTTTTTTAAACCCACTTGGAAGTAATAAAGGCAAGTTTTTCAATCTGCTGATTTTTCGGACTGCTCTATTATTCGGACGTTTTTTCGGTCCCAGTGAAGTCCGAATAACCGGTCGGCGACTGTACCCCCGACCACATTTTTTTTCCTTCGTTCGTCTGGCGTGTGCAGCGGACGACGAAGTTGCATGGATTCCTTGTCACGCGATCGTTTCGCAACGATCATTTATGTTCCTTCCGCTCGATGCTCTGCATTTCAAGATCGATTGGCCGATACCACAAACGACAGTTCCGAAGTAGCGGCCCCACGTCCGTCACAACGTAGGACCATCGTGCACCGCAATTGCGTCATTCAGTCCACTGTACGTCGCCATATTGAGAATGACGTGTACATGTACCTCCTGTAATCTGTGCAACTTTTTTTTTTATTAAGATATTTGTTGTTGTTTGGAGGCCACAAAAATGAGTTCACATTTTTTCTATTTTTAATATTGAATGTGCCGTTTAGCTGTCCCATGTCTTTGAATATATTTGGTAGACATAGTTCGAACGCCACGTGACCATAGAAAAGAGAGTGAGTGCGACTGAAACCAGCCAATTCTCGACCGACTGTTTTCGCACAGCTCTGCGACGTAAGCTCGAGTCACTGGGAAACTGGTGTCCCTTGGCCAAACCGACGTTGAAAACAGCACGTGCCATTTTCGAAAACCATAGTTTGTCAAGCCCCGACGTCAGTGATGTCAAGGAATTTGTGGAAGTGATTGGCTGGCGGACCTTTGAGGCGCATTTCCCGTTGAATTTTTAACCTGTCACCTCTTCTAGTCATGGTTTCAGTGGTGATTGTAATAGGTTGTTGTAATAGGTTAAGTTGCGATAGTCAGTTTCAACTGTGGTAGTTAGTTTCACTTACTACAGTTTCAGTTACAGTTCCTGTACAGTAGTTCCAGTTCCTTTCGTGATAGAAATTGCCTCAGTTGCAATGGTCACTGTTTTCATTTTAGTAGTTGCAGTTACGATAGTCATAGTTCAAGCGGTGATAGTCACGGCTCAAATTGTAATAGTCATAGCTCCAGTTGGGATCGTTGCACTTCAGTTTGTGATAGCTACAGTTTTCGTTGCGACAGTTAGTTTTGGTTGTGATAGTCATAGCCTCACCTTTGCGCGTCGTCTGCTCATGTCTTCTGCAACGCCGCACAGCACAAGCGGCAGCATGCAGCAGCAGAAGAGGTTCATGCAGAACAGCACCAAGGTGCCCACCCGGCACCTCTCTGACCTGGGTCACCGCAAACGCATTGCACATCTTTGTAAACCGCATAGTAATCTGCAGACCTATTCACATTTTTGGTAATTGTTTCTTCAGTTGGGTTGTATAAAGGCCGGGTCACACATGCAGCACAGTCAACGCTAAGAACAAGGGCGGAGAAGAAAAATCAAGATGATGTAAATCGTGATCTAAGTTGCACCGATTTGGCTACAATGATCTAAACAAACACTTCTTCCCCAAAAGACGTACTGAAATCCTTTTCTATGTGCTGTTTTCCACCTGTATCCGCTTCTCCTGGGTATTTACTATGTATTTAAAGCAAAAAACGATCAAGCAGAAAAGATTAATATCAGGCAGCCATTAAAAAAAAAGTATCTCGTGATAAAAGTTTTTTTCTAGCTGAAGTGATTTAAATTGTGTAAGTTTGATTTAAATCAGATAAATCTAATTTATTTACTATTTTCAGATGATCATGTTTTTGTTTTTTCCCTGCTAAGAACAATGTTCAATGTTGGTAAAGCACTGACTTGAACCTATTTTAACACGGATGCAATCCTGTATCAGCACTGGATCACTAATATACTTTAAAGTCGGTCCTGCATTAGCAAGGACCTCATACCTCTCGAATCATGAATTACAAAAGGTTTGTGCCCTCGAATTCAAAGTGATGTCTTGCTTGCCATTTTCTGATCTACTTTGGTAAATCACATAGACTCGGCATGCTACACTGAATCGTAAACATGCCAGGAGTTTAACAAAATGATCTCTTCTTTGCTGCTAAGTAAAAGGTTTCAGGGACCAGGACATTGTATACGAAACTAGCTTAATAACAGACAATGCACGTGCCTATATATACCCAATAACGTTGATGGTCTGGACTTTAATTATAAACCCCTCCCCCCAACACAAAGAAAAAAAAAAAAGAAATTGCATTTGGATAGTTGGAAACAATTGGCAAATGAGAGCCGGTTTTAGATAGAGATCGACGGCAACTGGCTTTGTATCCAAAAAACCGACCGTGCCATTAAAAAACCGGGCAGGTGGCAACCCTATGATAAAAACACCTTTGCTCAGAGTAACGTTTCATTCCCTGCAGACGGTGCTCACCGTTTTGTCTTTTCGCCGTCTCCAGACTTGGCTTGTTCCGAGAGCCATATTGTGGTTTCGAGCTGTGAGACGAAGTTCCTCAGGCCCCACAATGCCACGGGCTGACTTGCCAGACCAATCACGGCCTTTAATAAACCTGCGTGGAGTTTCATACTAACTTGTCGACGATCCTTTAGTAAGCAACTAAAGTCGTCCCAAGATGCGAAAGTGTGCTGGCAAGCCGTTTGGGAAACATCATAATTTAAACCCCGAGACACGGAGTAACGAAATAGTGGATAAATGGCGAACGGTTTCCTCGAAGTTCTGTCGTTTTCTGGGGGCCTAAGTCACAGCAGCTAGCACAGCGAGGGTTCAGAAGAAAGAAGCGTCAATCATGATGCTGTGATGCTGTTCAGATGCAGAGCTGAGACGCTTTGGCACTTCTGCCACAACTGCGTGAGAGGGTTCATCCACACGATACAATGCTCCGCTCAATGCCCAATATACTGGGGTGCATTGGGCATTAGGCGAAGATTTGTTTTTGTGGGTGCCATTCTCGGCAAAACAATATGCATGTTTTCATTTTCCGTGATGTCGCAAAGTGGGGTCTACGGATCCCCGGTTGGCGGGTTCGAGTCCCCACCAAAGTCCCCCGCAGTCTTGACGGAGGCTTACCATTGAGAAGGCTCCATATAACTAAGATTATGGGTTAACGATTGGTAGCTTCCTAAGTGGTCGAGATCTACCCTGAGTCCTCTGCCTGGGGCGTGCCAGATGCCCACGGTTGGTTTGGCAGAGTAAAACCCCAAGACTTGTCTTCGCACACCGGGAACTGGCGCCTAAGAGCTGCACTCTAAAACCAAAAGCATGACTCCTTCCTTCGCTCTTCTAAGTCAATTTGCTTCCCCTCTGCAATTTTGTAGCTATCACCAGGCGGTGTGTGATATCACCAGGACGACATTTGGGGGATTGGGCAAAAAATACTGTAAAACCCTTTATTTTCGCGGCCCCTATTTTTCGCGAATCGGTCACAGATGACATAATCGCGACCACTAAATTTTGCGAATTCCAGATGCCTGCGTTGAAAATCTTAAGGACCGAAATTTTCGCGCGCCCTTAAATTTTGCGAATTCTTTAATTCGTGAAATTCGCGAAAATTGAGGGCTCGCGGACATTAAGGGTTTTACAGTAACTGAAAACATCACCTCCTCTTGCCTCTTCCCCCTGGTGAGGGAGTCTCCAATTGTCCTTTGGTCAAACCTAGTCTGAGTTGCCCTAGCACTGGGCCCACTGAAAGATGGGGTTGAGACTTTGGGCTGGAGCCAAGCGGGAGAGAGTCCCAATTTTCCTCTGTCCCACCTGTCCCCAGCTGTGTTAGTTGCACGTCATTCAATTCTCCTAGATAACTTCAGCCAGACTTCTAATCTCCTCCTTGTTATTAAAATGCACTTATCCATTCTTTCATTCTCGTCTGCAAACCCCAGCGCTGCGGCTAAATCCATCGCCTTATCAGGGAGGGCAGGAGCAAGCTCTGTGCACCTCAACAGATGTTCTATTGTCTATTGTCTCGTCTTCCCCTTTGCATACGGTCCACCGCACGTCCATTTCCTCATACTTTTTCCTACATGTCTTAGTCCTCGATACTCGTTTTAACCTCAAATAACAACAAGCTCCCCCGTGAATTATCATGCCAATGTTCCTTCCTTATTTCCTGTTTCCGTTCCCTATTAGTTAAATATGATTTTCCCTGCATTCTTTCCTCCCACATTTTTTTCTCGGCTTCTTTTTATTTCCATTTTTACAGTAGTAGTCTGCTCTGCCCCAGCACTTGACTCTTGGTATTTGACTTTCAGTTTTCGGGTTTGGTTTGTCCATTTAGCGTTCGGTCTTTTCATATACAGATGCTTACATACCTTTCTCGCTCGTCGTGTGTCCTCCATTGTGTCCAGCCTTTGTTCAAATTTCAACTTGCTGGTCGCCTCTCCAGGCTCGAACGATGCCAAGCCCGTGTCTTCCTGCGCTCCTTCGTTTGGCGTATTCCTAATGCGCCCCCCAGTACCAGTCTGCCCACGCTTCTCTGCCAAATTTCAAAACTCAACTAAACCTCAGATTTCGCGCATAATCGCTAAGGCGTGCCCACGGTTGCCGGACTGGTGCCCAAACAATGAGCCTTCCATCCGCTGTGGCCGTAGCCTTTCAAGCGTATCCACTTGCAAGCGTCCGTAGCTTCGTCACGTGTGGTCTGACGGCGCAAGGACGGTAGGGGGGGTTTCTTTCCGGGGCCCGGGCTCCCTGTGCTCGTTGCCTTCTCTCGGGCCTTGGCTCACAAGACGCCGGGGCATTGTAGAGCGTCGGAAGCTTGCGTTGGAGGCGGGACAACCGAGGACCTCCATATTGTTCTGATAGTGTCGGCGACTCTACTGACGGTGTTAGAGGGGAAAGGTGCATGCCCCGTCTTTACGGACATCGACAGGACAAAAATGGCGGTGCATCCGTTGCAGATTCTCCACCACCAGCATGAGCGTGCCTTCCGTCCTACTTTGGCTGCGCGGGAACACAGGAGACCCACTACAATCCGAAGCGTCGTCCGAAGTAGGAAGCTCGATGCCGGAAACGGCACGACCGACTTGCTGCTGTTTTGAAGGGGCCATTCAACTTCTTCCTCTTTAGCTTTCCTCCTCAACTTGCGAGCGAAATGAGAAACAACGTGGCCGCGACGTGGTGTTTCACGGGAGCCAATTTATTCGTCGATTTATTCAAGAGCTAGTGAGGGCATTATAGAGGGGGAGGGTCAAATCCAAGATCAACTTGGTGCCAAGACGCACTATTTTTAAGACAATCGGGGAAAAGGGTGCTCTGCCTGCGGAGAAGACGCGCGACAAACAAAAGAAAACGAATCTTTGAACCGGAGTAAAATATACGATGACCCTGTTAACATATAAAGAAAGACCGGTAGTTTGTAAAAGGAGCAAATATTAGTAATTTGACAGTGCAAAATAAACCTGGGAGTTTACGTCCTTTGTTACTAGCTCCTCAATTCCTGTTGAATATGGTATGTGGAAAAAAACAAATGTTTAAATACCGTATGTCGGTTTCGTTGCGCAGGAGGCCTAATTTTTCTGCCGCGATGATGATGATTCCGAGCTTCCACCGTGCTTTTTAAGTGCATCATGGAACTCGTCGTTCATGAGCGATGATAAGTGCCGTCTAGGCACTCATTGATCACGAACGCGGATCCAAATGTTCGTCGACGGATCGATTGTTGACGAGCGAATAAGTCCGTGTGACGCGACGCCAAAGTCTAATGCGTGAGCTAGGTTTGGCCGATGCGCTTGGGCACTTCGGATGCATCGCAGCGAAAAAGTGGAGAGCTTTCGAAGATCCCAATCTGAAATTTTTTCTCCCAGCCCAAAATTCATTTCGTGGTCCCTTTAATGCCGTTGGTGGTCGTGAGAGCCATTGATTCTTTCTTCGCTCTCACCGATAGAGACGAAGACCTCGAGGGCGCTGAGGGCAATGGAAAGTCCGCAGGAGACGACGCTGGAGTCGGGGTCGTCGGAATCGGGTCCGCCGGTGTTGGGGTTGCCGAAACCGGGGTCGCCGGGCGGACTCCCGTGCAGCGGGATGGGGATGTCGTAGAAGCGGGAAGGGTGGGTGGCCCTGGGGTGCGAGAGTCTGGCAACCACCGCACGGGCTTCTGTCTGGGCCATGGTGCGCCGCTTGTTGCGGTTGACGGCGGTCTCCGGTCTGCAGACCACCGACTCTCCCATGCACTGGGCGGAGAAGTTTCCATTTTACGCTGAATGTGTGGAGTTAGGGTTTTGTAAATATGTGTCCCCTCTGCACCCTCCCCTCCCCCCCTTAAAAAAAAAAAAAAAAAAGAGGAGTTGCTGAGAGAAAAGTGTAACATAAATTATTTGCTAAATTTAGGGGGGGAAGTTGAATTGGTGTATAGATGTTTGCAAGTACGGCCTTAGGCGCCGCCATCTTGCTGCGTTGCTGAGACGGACACACGGTTTCCAGACTGGCACCCAAACAAAGCGTTTTTCCATCCATGGTGGCCAGAGTAGCTCTTCAAACGCAGCTGTTCGCAAACGTCTATACAATTACGCACCGATTCAGGCTTCTCAGCTGAATCTTGTGGAGAAATTGAATTGGTGTGTAATCATACGAAAATTTTGATATTTACGCTAAACTTGGCAGGGAAATTGGGCGACAACCGTTTCCCCACTAAATTTAGCGGATAAATTTAATTGGGAGTATCATTTGTACACGAATTCAGGTTTTCCCACCAAATTTAGGGCGGGGAATCTCAGAGCGAAATATTAAATAAACATATGTAACGGCACATTTCAGAAGGTGAAAACAGTGCAAAAAAACGACTGACCGAATGAAGGAACACACGAACAGCGCTCTGTCCGTGTCTTCCTTCGTCCGGTCCGTCGTTTTTTGCACTGTTTTCCCCTTCTGAAGTATGTCGTACCAACTCGCCCAAGCGTCAACTTTAGCAATATGTAACGAGTCTAAAAAACAAATTCCACTTTACGTTCTGTGCATTTCAGCTTTATCTCAGAAATCAAACTTGGTACAAGCGGCCCCCAACAGACTGGAGGTTGCTTGGGCCATTTCCCTTCCCCCGACTAGGCATGCAATGTTTTTTTGAACCAACATAGTGCCAACGTGGCAGCAACAAAACGTGTTGCATTAGCCGCCGCCAAACACTAGATTGTTGCAAATCCTGGTGCTGGGGCGTGGAAGCGACAGAGTACCAGCGGTGGGCATGGTGAGTTACAGCGGGGCATCTGGCTTACCCACGCCTGTCGCTGTGCCACTCAGCGTTCCCGATTTGGGACGCCAGGATTGCATAAAATCGAGCAGGCAACATAAGAGATGCTGTAAATACGCTGGTTGAAGGTGCGTTCGGGGTGCTGTAGCGAAGGTGTGTTTTGAAATGGACCGGCCATTATAATCTAGATCTAGTGTACTTGCCGTGCACTGGCAGTCGAGGTAGCAGACGCATCTACCCTTGGGCCGAATGAGGACACTTCTCGTTGTGATGACGGCCCTGGCCTGGTTTTCCAGGACAACTGTGGGGAAGTGGAAGGCCCGTTTTACTCTTGCTTTACGTAGACCAGCGTACGCATCCGACACGCATCCTGAACATATATGCGTATTCCTAATCCATACGGTGTTGTGCCAAAGGTTTTAGCATGTCTTTTTTTTTCTTTTCACAGCTTGGACACCTTTCCTGCGTGTCTTTCAAGTTCGACTGTTTTCTACTCATCTCAGCGGACATGACCAAATAAAATTATTTATTTTCCTAATTTTTCGATGGTGTCTGTCACATACAGTATAGACCACTTACAGCGTAACCGCTTATAGTGCAGGACCGGGTATAACGCGGCTTTTTTAAACCACCGGTTCGCCTCCCATAGAACTCCATGTATTTACATACCGCTTAAAATGCAGGCGCACGAAGGGAAATACCGGTTATAGTGCGGTTTCTGGAAGAGCCCGGCGGCCGTGCCGACTGACCGGCGCAGCGAGCACGCTTCCCCTTGCGGCGCTAGATAACGGCGCGAGCCGCGAGCGGCACTTGCGGGGCAAGGAGGTTGCTCGAAGAAACCGGGAGATGCGAAGAGAGAGGCTGCAGTTGCCATAGCGACGGAGGGACGCATGCACGTGTCGTTCTCGTGCGCGCGTCCCTCCGCTGCGATGGTTGGAAACAACCGCAACGACAGACCAATCACAGGTCGAGGAGAAGTGTTCGCACTACCCTTGACTGGGAATTTTCGTTGTGTGTCGTTATGATAACCCAGCACGTACTAGAAGGGAAGATCCACCTACTCGTGCGGCGATGTCGTGGCGGCACTCTCAAGACGACACTGGCAGAAACGCCCGTGTCGTCGTGTTTGTTTACTTCGACTAGAGTGGTGCTGTTTTCGAACATCGCCCGGATTTCTTATTTGGCGCATTTCATGCCTGTGCTCAAGTTGAAGGTATTACTGGCGCGTACCGTATAAAGGATGCGAATTTTCACGTGTTTTCATCGCCGAAGAAAAGTGATTAGGGTTAGTAATCCTGAACGCTCGCAACGTCCGTCCGCAACCCGCGACGCTGTTAAAAGGCTGCGCCAGGCAAAAGTCGCTCATTTCTTTCAAAATGTGTGACACACTTGAGACAGAACTGTTCTAGTCTGGTGAAATAAAGACTTTCCTCAAACTAAGCTTTATTTTTCACCTAACATAAAGTAAATTCTTTTACAAAGGTAAGTAGTCTCATGGCATGTATTTTGGCCTGAAAAATTGATGTTTTGGTTATAACGCGGTACCGCTTATAGTGCGGATTTTTGCGACTCCCGCGACATACGTTATATGCGGTCTACACTGTACATTGAGGGACGAAGCAAAGATGTGGTAAGCACGCCATTCAGAGATGCGTCATAACTATTGATGGGGGGGTGAAACTCTGGAGGTTTGGCTTCGGACTGTTTCGGAAGATTCCAAAACTTTTTGGACGAAATTTCGGTTGTTTTGAAGGGCAGTTTCGTCGCTATCTAGCCAACGTGGCGTTGTTCCTTTTGGTTTTGTGGGCTTGTGAGTGTTTAAAGACTAAACCTTGATAGAGACCTAAATTCGGTGAGTTTTTGGCTTATTTTCTGCGTTATAGCAATACATACCAGGTTGTCCGCGGTGTATGGGGGATCTTCGTAGATTCTACAATCCCAGGCTGAGGCCTGCGGGCGCGTTCGTAATCCGTGCTCAAAGTGACAGCCAAACTGACGGCAGGATCTCAACAAGCACAGCTCTATGGTACCTTGTGCATGTCCAAGTGTCGTAGCTCTGAGTAGTGTGTAGGCCTCCCGAACATTTTGTTCTAGAATCACGGTTAACTGGTCGGTGATTTTATTTCCACTTGGAAACATGTTGCCAGTGGTCTTCAGTGGAGCATTCTGTGTGAAAGGTGCCTAACTGTGATGCACGAGCAATGAGCAGGTAAGCAATGGATTAGTATCTTTCTGAAGCATTAGGAATAAGTTTCATAGCCACTGTAGCAGATAGTGAGGGGGATGAAGCAAACCTCGTTCATCTGTAATGTGCAAATAGCTCTAGCTTTGCGAAGATCTGTCGCCACCATTTGTTTGCAGCCTATGCTGCTGTGAAAAACAGTCTCTTGGTGCGTACCCTTGGAAACGTACATAAGGGGCTAAGTATTTCTTCTATTGGTGCTTCCCATGAGTGTCCTGGTTTCATTATGTAAAGTTAAAGGGGGACACTAACACCCCCCAAATTTCAGAGCGCAGCTCTTAGGCGCCCGTTTCAGGCTTGAACGACGTCGCCGCCGCCGTTGGCGTAACCGTAACGTGTCGGCGTAATGCTTTTTCATGATGCGTCGCTGTCGGCGTAACTCTTTTTCGTGACACATCAACATAGCCATAACACGCCGGCGTAACGCGTTTTCGTGACTCGTCGGCGTAGCCGTAGCGCTTCGCGTGACGTGTCGCCTTCGGTGTAATTGCGCGGTGTGTTATGGAAAACGTGCCATAATGCACCGCGGTGACGCGTGTTGCATTATGGGACGTTTCCCATAATGCACCAGGTGGGAGGGAGGAGGAAAAGAAGAGGGGAGGAGGCGAGGAGCAGGGGAGAAGTAGATGAGGAGGGAAGAGGAGAGGAATACCATCCCCTCCATACTTTTCCCTCCTCCTCCTCAAGAGCTGCGCTCTAATTCGGCGTTACAGGGAGTTGTAAACATCTGTCATTTTTTTTTTTTTTTTTTTTTTTCCAAGCGATTTATTATGGTGTCGGGAGACTACCCAATCAATTTTTTGCTACAGTGTCGCATATATTTTTAATAAAGTAAAAAAAACGCAACTGCTCAAAACCGAAACTGGATTGGGGAGGAAGACGCCGGAAGTCATGTGGCTGTGCAACTTTTTTTTCAGTCAACGTATTTGAAGTTTTTTAGAAGACACAAAAATGGGTAACATATTGTTTATCCATGTTTAAGTGATTGCCTTCGATGACCCACGACTTGGATTATCTTTGGTGGTTGTGTCTAAATCATAAAAAACGGCCTGTGACCATGGAGAAGAGAGAGCACGCCTCAAACTGGCCAGTTCTCGATTGGGGGTTTTTGGGCGGGAAGAAAATGAATTTCGAGCCGCAAATTGTGCTGTGCGTAGTTGGGCTCTAATATATTATGTACAAATAAAAACCTTGACGAGCATAAATACCCTGTCAGTGTCCCTTTAAGAAAAAATAAAACTGAATTACTTGGGAGCTTAATGCATGCTTTGCTGCGCAAAAGATCTTTCGAGGCACAATTCATGTAAAATAAATAATTAGTTTTATTGCGCTCGCTGCTTATCTTTCGACTTTGAACAGTGGGGGGTAGCATGCATCCACTTAACAGACGTTGGCGCTCATGAAGATCATCTTTTCCAAGAAAGGTTGTTCCTTCTCTGCGTCGGACAGTTCCTCTGCTGTTGCGTGTGGTGTTTCTGCTGCACCGGTGAGATTTTCGTGTATTGTAGGTAGAATCGTAGGAATTCATGCCCTTGCCATGCGAATGAAGCTGAGGGTGGCCCCATTCTTTGATGTGAGCCAGTTTCTTCTATCCGTCACAATAGCTTCTGCGGTGCTAAGTACTCCGAGTATATGCTGGTTGGAGTGCAGGCAAGGTGGGTACTCCACAAGCACTGCGTACAAGTCTGGCCACAGGTGTCACTTGTTCTCCCAGCAGTCAGCAGGTTCGCTCTCTGAGCTGTAGCGTCCCACCTCCTTGTCTTTCAGATAAGCGTCAAGCTACGCCCTGTTCGCATGTCGCCTCTCCTGTTGTGGCCTGGGAGTTACTCCTGACGTTCTATACCAGGAGTGGAAATCACTGGGAAGGGAGCTGGCTGAGGGGACACCGACTCCAGGTTTGGGAATTCAGCGGCCTCTTCGCTTATGGCAATGAAAAATATGTCTCTGAAGCTAGGGTCCAGCAGGTTAGCAGCCGAGTACAGGACATCTGCTTTTACAACATTCAAGTGCCGAATAGAATTCAGATCGTGAAGTAGGCATGAGGAAAGGCAAAAGGTTGGGATGTTTAGAGATCTGCCTTCGTAGTGCTTCCAACTGTCCTCTTAGTAAAGGTGAGGAGGGGCAACACGTCTCCCTGTGTCGAGTTGCCCATGCAGAGGAGACCGTGTTGCTTCCTCAAACCTCTTCGAATCTGCGACCATTGTCTTTAATAGAGCCCGTTGGTGTGGTGCGAGGTGGTGTTTTGTGCTGTCTTTGAAAAATTCAGTGACAGCACGCCGCTGCTCGGACAGACATTCAACCATGTAGTAGGTGACGCTGTTCCATCTGGTTGGAACATCCTGTACAAGCTTGTGGACGGGCAGCCCGTGCTGTCGCTGGGTTTCTGCGTTTCCTCCGAGTATTGGCCGAGTGTCGAAAATGGCCAACGATGACACATGCTGCTTTGAGGATCTCCACCTCCACAGTAGACTTGATTAGTGATGCCTTCACTACCAAGTTGAAGCAATGGGCCATCCATGGCACACACTTCATTCCTCTATCATTTAGTGCTTTAACGACATTTTGTGCATTGTCACTTGTCACAGTTGCCACTTCCCGTCCCAAAGGGACAAGCCGTTTGCTCACATTATCTTCGAGCTTTTGGCCAATGTCTTAAGCCGTATGTTGGACCAAACCTGGATATGTCAAGGACTGTATTCTTTGTGGCCAGGCATCCTTTGGGGTCATGAGAGACCCAGTGCGCTGTCACAGACACAAAGTCAATCACTTGGTGGCTTGACCAGATGTCAGTTGTGAGATAGACAGTCCCTATGCACTCCTTGAGTTCCGTGTTTAATGCGTCTATAATGGCTGTCTCAAGAGCTGAAATGGTCACATTGGCTAAGTAGCCTCTTGGTGTTTCACTTTGAAACACAGTAGCACATGAAATCTATGAGTGCAGGATCTTCGACCATAAAGCATGGCTTCATGGATTTAGCTTTGTATTCTGCAGGTTGGTTGTGTGATATTGCTAACGGATGTGTCGAACTCCAGCTTTGTTTGCGAATCATGGTCTTTTGTAGGGTCAGTTGGGTCTTGGGGGCTTTGACAGCTCATGATGTGCGTGATATTGCTGCTTTTGCTGATGATATTGCTGATGCTGCAGTAGTCTGTTTGTACGTGTGAGGATGGTTCCACTTCACATGCTAGTGGAGCACTGTTATTACAAACCTCTGGCAGCCGCCTTGCTTTCCTGGTCGCACAGTTTTGTGGCAATGCGTGGCACATTGATTCGAACTGGCTGTTGCCTGGTTCCT